TTTTATTTAATATAATTGACATTTATATATAAATGAAATATATAATTTATCAAGTTATTTTTTTCTTAATTAAATACAAATCCGTTTCCATTATGATAGATCATTATTACTTCATTTACAGCTTTTATTGCTGCTGTACATATTTTTTATATCAATAACATATATTCTATAAAAAAAAAACAGTTTGACAAGATAAGAAATATATTCACTGTGCCTTTAATAATAATAACTTGTTAATACGTCTTTTATTTTGTTTTCTACTCCGGTTGTAACACTTAACAGAATGTTAACGCGCATTGAATTTTTCTAGCCAAGCTAAGACGCCAGTGCGATCAGAGGAACACAAATAGTGCTAATAGCGTTTCCTTGAACGCACCCCAAATCATGGAACCTCATCCTGTAATTTTACCTTCATGTAATTTTACCATCCATGTAATTTTACCTAACAGTAAAATGTATTGAGTGTTTCATAATTTTGATTTCTGTGTTTATTTATAAACATAAATTTACGTTATTTTGTGTATGTACGGCGGTTTTAATGTGCATTAGTGCGCAATCAAATTCGCTATTAGTTTTATTTTTGTCCATTATTGTTGCAAAATGCTTAATCACGACTTTATTTAATCAACAATGCCTTTATAACTTTTATTATTCGTAATTCACGATATAGATATGCAATATACTATATTATGCTATCCTCTCTCAGTAGGTTACTAAAATCCCTAAAATATTCCTTCCTTCGGGAAGGCAGACTTGAGATCCGTTTATGAAACAAGGAAACCTTGGAGAATCGAGGAATCCTTCATGGAGACTTCCTCTCTTCTTAAAATAAGGAAGGACTATGAATACGGATGTTAATGCTTCTTACACATTTGTTACAATAGATGTGTAAAACGTGATGCTGCGCATGCGCATTGAGAACATTTATCCCTTACTACCTTTCTCTCTCCCACAGATTTTTGCATCAGCGCGAGCCATGGGAAGTATAGGCAATGGCTGCATTCAGCAGAGAAAGCAGCTTTGCAACTGTTGTAAAATTCTTGAATGTGATTGGTTTATACATTTAGATCCAATGAGGAACTAAGGGCAAGACCAATCATATTGAAGAATTTTACAATAGTTGTAAAGCTGCTTTCTCTGCTGAACGCAGCTAATCCCAGTGAGAAATGACAATGGAATCGACATCGAATCGATTCGACGTCGAAATCATCGAATTGACGTCGAATCGACGTTGATTCGACATCGATTCCATTGTCGTTTCTCACTGGGGGATGCCCCTTCCATTTATATATGTTCTAAGATTCTACCAGAGAGGTTCCTCTCTGGATTCTATACTATACACGTGGTATCGCCTGAATTGCACTGGATAGTACTTCATTTTGTTTGAAGCTGAAGCGAGTCTGATTATAAAATGTCCCATGAGTGGAAAACTCTATCTTTTTTCAAACATTGGTAAGTTCATAGTTTTTCTTTTCTCTAATAGCGTATTTCACTGGTTGCACTGGTGCGCAC